CATCAGCGATCGACACAGCAATCAATGGCCGAGTCTTCTGCGGCCAATCGCGTGAACGCCCAGTCGGTGGTCACCTCTGAGACCAATCCATCCATATTTGAAGTGTTGGCTCAACAGAGTCTGGCCGACGGTCTCCGACGGGCCGCCAATTATCTCATTAATGTATGTCTGCCTCTGGTTTGCCATTCAATGCTCATTCCGGGGAACCGCTCCCGTGACCGCCGAAGATGTTGTTCAAATGGCTTTAATTGTTATTTCTCTGGTTTTCCCGACAGATATTATACACGAATAATACCGAAAAGTTTGACTTTTGGTACAAGAATTTCGATGAGATCTACCTCTTGGCCGACATTTGTGTCCAATTTTGTCACTTAAAGGCATTCAACGCCTCGTTTGCCGAACACTTCTATAGTCTTAAGCGAATCTCAGCCGATAAGACACGCCATCGCGTACTCAATGGCCGACAAGTGCTCACATCGTTGGCACTGTTGACAGCGTTTCCCTACATTAAGGCTAAATTTGATTCCCTGTACGCGAGACTCAAGTTAAGAGAGTTGGAGTCACAGACCACGGATCAGCTCAACCGTCAACGACTCTTTGTCAGAGCGTATCCAACAATACTCACGTTTTGTCGTCTACTGAGCCTTTACTATGAGATCAGTTACGCCGTCGACCGGAACCCATACCACTCACCACTGGTTCGGTTGGCCGGCGTTCGACTCATTAACTTAGAGGACACTGATTTCAAGGCACCGACGGATCAGTTAATGTATATTTCTCTGGTTTTCCCGACAGATATTATACACGAATAATACCGAAAAGTTTGACTTTTGGTACAAGAATTTCGATGAGATCTACCTCTTGGCCGACATTTGTGTCCAATTTTGTCACTTAAAGGCGTTCAACGCCTCGTTTGCCGAACACTTCTATAGTCTTAAGCGAATCTCAGCCGATAAGATACGCCATCGCGTACTCAATGGCCGACAAGTGCTCACATCCTTAGCACTGTTGACAGCGTTTCCCTACATTAAGGCTAAATTTGATTCGCTGTACGCGAGACTCAAGTTAAGAGAGTTGGAGTCACAGACCACGGATCAGCTCAACCGTCAACAACTCTTTGTCAGAGCGTATCCAACAATACTCACGTTTTGTCGTCTACTGAGTCTTTACTATGAGATCAGTTACGCCGTCGACCGGAACCCATACCACTCACCACTGGTTCGGTTGGCCGGCGTTCGACTCATTAACTTAGAGGACACTGATTTCAAGGCACCGACGGATCAGTTAATGTCAGCGATTGAAGCGCCGAGAGATTTATTTTCTCGTTTCGCGAGACTATCGGTGACGGCAACCAAATGCTTGGCCACGGGTTTCGCGGCCGGTCTGTCGGTCAGCGCTTTTTTCATACAATTTCTCGACTACTGGTACAGTACGGACATGTATGCGCACAGTTTCGCACCCCTTCCCATACCCCCAGCGCCTCCAAAAGTAAGTTTAATTGATATTTAAATATGCAATCATTTCAATAATGATTTAATTTAATTTTATCTGTAGATTGAGATCGATATTCCTGTAGAGAAGTGTCCCATTTGTTTGAATGTCCGCCAAAACGATACCGCACTCATGACCAGCGGGTAATTGTCATGATTTTTACAAAAAATGTTGTATTTTATAATTAATATACTATTTATTAATTTATAGGTTTGTGTTTTGTTACGCATGTATTATAAATCATTTGAAAGTCAACAGTCGCTGTCCGGTCACTGGCTATCCGACGGCCACCGATCAGCTCATCAAACTCTATCCACCCGACGCCTGACCGCATACTACCATTCATTGGGTTTTATTAGATTTAGACTATCGCGAGACTATCGGTGACGGCAACCAAATGCTTGGCCACGGGTTTCGCGGCCGGTCTGTCGGTCAGCGCTTTTTTCATACAATTTCTCGACTACTGGTACAGTACGGACATGTATGCGCACAGTTTTGCACCCCTTCCCATACCACCAGCGCCTCCAAAAGTAAGTTTAATTGATATTTAAATATGCAATCATTTTAATAATGATTTAATTTAATTTTATCTGTAGATTGAGATCGATATTCCTGTCGAGAAGTGTCCCATTTGTTTGAATGTCCGCCAAAACGATACCGCACTCATGACCAGCGGGTAATTGTCATGATTTTTACAATAAAAATGTTGTATTTTATAATTAATGAACTATTTATTAATTTATAGGTTTGTGTTTTGTTACGCATGTATTATAAACCATTTGAAAGTCAACAGTCGCTGTCCGGTCACTGGCTATCCGACGGCCACCGATCAGCTCATCAAACTCTATCCACCCGACGCCTGACCGCATACTACCATTCATTGGGTTTTATTAGATTTAGACTACAANCATTTGAAAGTCAACAGTCGCTGTCCGGTCACTGGCTATCCGACGGCCACCGATCAGCTCATCAAACTCTATCCACCCGACGCCTGACCGCATACTACCATTCATTGGGTTTTATTAGATTTAGACTACAATTAATATGAATTATTGGTTTTGTTATTTAATTTTAAATAGATTTTTTGTAGTTTTATTTAGCATTTATTAAGTCTGTTATTGTGTTAGTTATTCAATGGATTTATTTTTTATATTTTCTATTAAATTGTGAAAACTTATTGTTATTTTAATCAATGAATATATCGATTGAAATAACGGATTCGTGTATTTGAGTGTCAAATGTTAAATGAGTGCATAATTGTTACTGAATTGGTTCACGAATTGATTGGTCGCCTTTGAACTATCAATTATAACACTGTATGTGTTTGGGAGAGCACAGGCATTGGCACAGACAACAGACACACACACATCACCGCAAAAATCTAACGGTGCGAACGCATGAGTGCTGAGAATCGCGACAACTGTTTTGCCACAAATAAATGAGAGGAAAAATGAAAAGTTTTTATTTCCATTAAAACTCTTGGAAACCCTATGATCTGAATGCAAACAGATATACCAATGTTATAGTCGTATTTACTATACTATAAATTACTAAAAATACTATAAATTAATAGTTGTTTTATTGCTTTTTGAATGTAAGATGAGTTAATTT